ACGATGTTAAATCCATATATAAGATAGATCTGAGGAAAAATGCATTACTGGTCGGTGCCATCTAGCGTGCAGGCGTGAATTAGCAGAAGGCGATCAATCGTTTCGTGCTCGATGTGATTTCACCATTCGTCGGCGATTCACCTCACTTTTTCGCATCGCGCTCATCGTGAAACGGCCTTAACACACTACTTACATTAAATGCATATAAATATCAGTTGTCAGTCTATATCTCCCAATAATATGTCTTAGTAAGGTGATATTTAAATAGTTAGTCTTATGATCCAAGTTCTGTAGTTTCAAAACTTATAATACAATGCAATACAATTATGACTGAGAGATGAACAAATAAACGTTCCTCAAAAACCTAATGATCATATTTGATACTTACATTTTAACATGAGTTTTCTAAAATAATTATGTATGGATAATCAAGTAAACCGAAGTTGCTTCAATCTAGCATGTGTTCATCATGAGATATTACTAACAATATCAAAGTTATTCTAACGTTTATTTTATAAAAATCAGGTAAGATATCACAACAACAACAACAACAAAACATATCACAAGCTGAAGGTGCACAATTAAACTAAAAGGTCTTTTACTTGCTAAACAATCATAAACTATCAATCAGATGACAGAAGGCATGTAGTAGATTGGGGTACATGATTCTCAGCAAAGGTTTGATCATGTGGATAATTTAGAGGCAGTGGCGGACAGTAACGGAGTAGCTTTACTTCGTTACTGTACTTAAGTACATTTTAGGTTTGAGAAGAAAAAAATCATTATGAAAATATAATTATATTTTCCTTAAAATGTTCTTCCTAACTTCAGGCCTTATTCTCATGTCATATATAACTGTGATGTTCTGCAAAACAACAAGCTTTAAAACACTTTTTTCTTACTGGTGAAAATCAGATGGTCAAATGTTTTCTCTCAGGTACTTCGCAGTGTAAGCTTCACAGTGAACATTACTACATCACTCTCGTCAACGCAGTCCATATCAACAACAACAATATATCTTGACTCCATATAGTGGTTATTTTGAGCAGTAGGATTGTATTTTGAGCAGTAGGAATATAAAATTAAATTAAGTAGCCTATATAAAATTGCAAAATAAATCTATTAGTACTTTTTTACTTAAGTACATGAAAAATCGAGTACTTTTCTACTTTCACTCGAGTAAAATTGAAAAAGGAGTACTTTTACTGGAGTAATATTTTATTATACTATCTGTACTTTTACTCAAGTACTTGATTTGTGTACTTCGTCCACCACTGTTTAGAGGCCTGTATCAAATATAATAAAGTAGCCTTTACAAGGTTGAAAAGATTCAGTTCACACAACAGAATCTCACCTGACCAAAGACAACTACTCACCATGGATTTCAACATTGACTTCCCTGTATTTGGTCCCTCTGCAGTTGCTGATTTGTAGTTTATAAAGTCCAGAGTGTTTAATTGTGGAATTCATGACGGTCAGAGATCCAGTCTTCTGGTCCAGCATCAGTTTTTCTCTAAATATCTCATTAGGACCACCAAATGTCTTTGTGGTCTCTCCAATCATTTGAGCAATGAGGCGGTCTTCATCTCCAAACTTCCACAGGATCAGATCATCCTTCTGTATTTTAGTATAAGTGTCTATAAAGACACAATCTCTCTCCATCACTGAAAGCACCCGCACTTAATTTGTGCCAGCAGTGCATAGAAACAGAAAAAGACAAAGAAATGTTGCAATTCGATCAGATGTGTGCATGTGAAGAACATATTTTGTAATGAACAAAACAAAAGATAATCAGATTCTGTTTTATCAGTTTGAAAAGGACATGATTTGAAGTCTTCTCACAATATTGTCATTATTAAACACATCACTGTCTCAGTTTCTGTTTGCTGCACAATACTGGTGAGAAGCAAATTGTGTCTCCAGTGATTTACTACTTCTGCAGTATCAGTACCAGCTGCTAGATCACACCACATGGGCAAAAGCATGTTTATTTGCCTATGTGGCTCAATAGGACAATGTTAATCTTCAATTTATGAAGACTGAAATAATTCACAGAACAATGTTTGAATGACGTCTGATCATTATTGCACTGAAAGACTTACCACTACGGGTTGCACAGACTAGTTGACTTACTGTTTCCATACAAATTACTTAAAAAAAAAAAATCCTATAGATTTATAGTGGCTGTAATATTAATGCTGTCCTATAGAGGGGATATACATACAGAATAAGAAATCTTTGAACTCCACTTTTATTTTCCATCAGTTAAAATTATAAATAAATATACATATACTGTTCAGGACAGAATTGATTTAGATTTTTCATTGAATTTATTATTTTGTATATGTCTACTCAAGTGAGGACTTTAATTTTGAAAAGCAGTCACATAGTTCAAGAAGCAGGAAGTTCGAGCAGTACTGCAGTGAGTCAGCAGAATGTTGTAGCTGTTCTGTGTGAGGCTCATTCTGAAATATCTTCTTTCTTCTGTTAGACGCAATGTCTGTGAGTACGCAGTGTTGAATATATTGTGTGATACATATAAGAATGTTATTTTGATATAATTATAGTGTATATTTTCTTTGTTTTTTGTATATTTTTACAGTTTCACAGTTGAATCATAAACTTCAGAAACGACTTGATGTCTCCGGCGAGGAGTCACTGTTTAACTTACTGGATAGTTAGATGCCAGAGAAGTCTAATAAGGCCAGTATAGTGAAAAGACAATGATACAACGGACTGAGAAGGATGCTCAAGAATTGTGTGGAATCAAGATTTAGACATTCAAGAGACTCTATCACATCAATCTGATTTTCCTGCATACGATCAAGCCTCACATAAGCATGGCAGAAGGTCAGATAGACTCGGCAGATCTTAAAGGCACAGGGGAAGATGTGCATTCCGTCAGCACACGTTCCTCTAAAGCATCCAGTCGTTCTTCGAGGGGACCCAGTCGTCACTCAAGTGCCAGCATCCAGATACAAGCAAGAATATCATGTTGCTTTTCCACCTTTCTCAGTGTTTGTGAATTTTGTACGTTCGGAAGCAAAAGCACGCACAGATCCAAGTTTCAATACATTCCCTCATGCAAGATATGAGAAAGGAGAAAGATTTGAGAGACAAAGACAAATGCCAATATCCGTTCACAAAACTCAAGTTAATCCTTCTACTAGAGCACGAGCCGAACAGGAAAAGATATCAGTCAGCCCAAATAAAATCTGCCCAATACATGGAAAACCCCATCCTTTAAGAAGATGCAGAGGGTTCAGAGAGAAATCTATACAAGATAGAATGCAGTTCCTGAAAGAGCAGTCCGTGTGCTATCATTGCTGTTCCTCCACTGATCATCTTGCCAGGTATTGCACTGTGGAAGTTCAGTGCAAAGAGTGCGGTAGTGACCGTCACCCATCAGCCCTTCATCCAGGTCCTGCCCCCTGGAAATCTCAGGCATCTACCCCTGCCTCAGAGTATGGCGGGGAGAAAGACAAATCAGTTAATCATGAGGTTACATCTGAGTGCACGGAAGTCTGTGGAGAAGGTTTGAGTGCACGGTCTTGTTCAAAAATGTGTCTAGTTTCGGTTTATCCAGCTGGACACAAAGAGAAAGCAAAGAGGATGTATGCTATCCTAGATGAGCAAAGCAATCGCTCCTTGGTGAGAAAAGATTTCTTTGACATCTTTAACATCAAGACAAGCCCATTTCCCTACACACTAAAAACATGTGCAGGGCTTCTAGAAACAGCTGGTAGAAGAATTTTTGATTTCATTGTGGAATCTATTGATGGGAAGATACGTCTACCTCTCCCTTCTCTTTTAGAATGTAATCAGATTCCAAACAATCGTACAGAGATTCCGACTCCTGATGCAGCGTTCCATCACAGCCACCTGAGACAAATAGCACCGGAAATACCACCTCTCGACTCCGATGCTGAGATTCTTCTATTACTGGGCAGAGACATCCTACAAGTGCACAAAGTGCGCCAACAAATTAATGGCCCGAATGATGCCCCCTTCGCTCAAAAACTGGATTTGGGCTGGGTTGTCGTCGGGGATGTGTGTCTCAAAGGAGCTCATAGGCCATCTTCAGTTCATACTTTCAAGACTTTCATCTTGGAAAGTGGCCGTCACAGCTTTCTGAGTCCATGCTACAGTCAAATCAAGGTAAAAGAGAAGTTGGATGTAAATCCACAATGGCAACAATCTCTAGAAGCCTCACCCGAGGACCCCTTTCTGTTAGTGTCTGATGGTGAAAAGATTGGTCGTTCAGTTTTCTCCTACACAGCGAATGATTATAAGATTGCTCCATCTGTGGAAGACACTAGGTTTCTCCAGATCATGGACAAAGAGGTCTTCCAAGACAGCTGCAATAGTTGGGTTGCTCCGTTACCTTTTCGTGAGCCCAGACAAAGTCTACCTAACAACAAAGACTATGCATTGAAACGTCTTCTTGCACTGAGACACACTCTGAACAAGCGACCGCAAATGAGAGCACACTTCCTGGAATTTATGGACAACTTGCTAAAAAATGAGCATGCAGAGATTGCACCGCCTCTTCAGCATGGTCAGGAAGTGTGGTACTTGCCGCTGTTTGGAGTGTATCATCCTAAGAAACCTAATAAAATACGAGTTGTCTTCGATTCAAGTGCACCCTATGAGGGAGTTTCACTGAACAGTGTGCTTCTCACAGGCCCTGATTTGAATAACAGCTTGCTAGGGGTCCTGATGAGATTCCGTAAAGAGCCTGTGGCTATTACTGCTGACATACAGCACATGTTTCATTGTTGTCGGGTTAGGGAGGATCATAACGATTATCTTAGGTTCCTGTGGTACAGAAACAATGACCTTAACAGTGAGATTGTGGATCACAGAATGCGTGTGCATGTTTTCGGGAATAGCCCATCACCAGCAGTGGCTATTTATGGCCTACGGAGAGCAGCCAAAGAATATGAAGAGAGTTTTGGCAGTGACACCAGAAAGCTGGTAGAGAAGGAGTTTTATGTTGATGACATGCTGAAATCATGTGCTACAGAGGCTGAGGCGATCGATCTTCTCAAACGTACACAAGAGATGCTTGCAGTGTCTAATCTTAGACTGCACAAGATTATCTCCAACTGTCCAAGTGTGATTGAAGCTTTTCCTTTGGAAGATCGTGCTGATGGCATTAAGGATCTGCAACTTTTCTCAAATGGCCTTCCTATCCTGCGTAGTCTTGGTGTGTCCTGGAACATTGCAACAGACACTTTCATGTTTCATGTTTCAGAAGATGACAAGCCTTTCACTCGGAGAGGAGTTCTGTCTACCGTGAATGGCTTGTATGACCCTCTTGGATTCCTTGCGCCTGTTACCATACAAGGGAGGTTACTGTTGAGGGAACTTACCAAACAAGGCGAGAGCTGGGATTCACCTTTGCCAGAGGACATGGAGGCTGAGTGGAGAAAATGGAAAAATTCTCTTCAAGATTTAAAAGAGCTTCAAATACCACGTGTTTGCACATCCATCCCTTTGTCTGATGTCCAGAGTAAAGAACTTTATGTTTTTGCGGACGCATCAGTCAAGGCTATTGCTGCTGTGGGATACCTAAAGGTGACAGATCATCATGGTCACACAGATGTTAACTTCTTGTTTGGAAAATCAAAATTAGCACCACAGCCAGACATTACTGTCCCAAGACTGGAGTTGTGTGCTGCTGTATTAGCAGTGGAGATTGCAGAGTTGATTGTGGAAGAGATGGACATGACCTTCGATCATATCTGGTATTACACTGACAGTAAAGTAGTACTAGGCTACATTCGTAATCAAACACGGAGGTTCTATGTCTACGTGAACAACCGAATTCAACGAATCCATAAATCCAGTTCACTTGCACAATGGCAATATGTTCCCACAGATCTTAACCCAGCAGACCACGGATCCAGATCTGTACCTGCAGCTTTCCTAGGTTCCACTTTGTGGCTTACAGGCCCACACTTCCTGCATAATTCCCAGTTTCGGTCTGAATCACAGGAATCATTTGAGCTTGTGGATCCAGCCTCAGATCCTGAGATACGCCCACAAGTGTGTACGAACCTAACTGAAGTTCCCAAGTTCACATGGAACTCCGAGAGATTAAGGAGGTTCTCTAACTTTAACACTCTCATCAGAGCGATAGCACGTCTGATTCACATTGTAAGTTCTTTTGCCAAACAATCACAAGATGTTAATTGCAGAGGATGGCACATCTGCAGCATAGGTCCTTCCGAAGAAGAGCTGGAGAAAGCAAAAATCCTTGTGCTGAAAAATGCTCAATATGAGAGTTATCCGACAGATATTAAAAACATAATTGCAGCTCACAAACTTACTCAGAAAAGTGCATTGAGGAAACTATCTCCTGTCCTTGACAGCAATGGATTACTTCGAGTAGGAGGCCGTATTGCCAAATCAGGTCTGGAACCTTGTGAAGTCAACCCTATTATCATCCCGGGTACACATCATGTAGCAATGCTGATCGTGCGACATTATCATGAGGCTGTGAAACATCAGGGCAGGCACTTTACAGAAGGTGCAGTTAGAGCCGCTGGATTTTGGCTAGTAGGAGGTAAAAAGTGTATACGCAGTTTGCTTTTCAAGTGTGTAATCTGCAAGAAGCTGCGAGGGAAGACAGAACATCAGCAGATGTCTGACTTGCCAGCAGAACGGCTGACGGTAGCTCCACCCTTCACATATGTGGGTGTTGATGTTTTCGGACCATGGGAAGTGACTGCCCGTAAGACCAGAGGAGGTCAAGCTAATTACAAGAGGTGGGCAGTTATGTTTTCATGTATGTGCACAAGAGCTGTCCACATCGAAGTAATTGAAGCAATGAGCTCTAGTAGTTTCATCAATGCCCTAAGGAGATTTTTTGCTATCAGAGGGCCAGCTAAACAACTACATTCAGATCGTGGCACAAATTTCGTTGGAGCTTCTCGAGAACTCAAAATGGATGAATCTAGTGTCAGTTCAGAGGATGTTCAGAAATATCTGAAGGAACAATATTGCACCTGGAAATTCAATCCACCTCACGCATCTCATATGGGTGGTCACTGGGAGCGAATGATCGGGATTGCTCGTCGCATTCTTGACTGTATGCTTCTCAATGAGAAATCTTCCCGTCTCACACACGAAGTCTTAACAACATTCATGGCGGAAGTTACTGCAGTGATGAATTCACGGCCTTTAATCCCAGTGTCCTCTGACCCAGAATTTCCCTTTATTCTCACCCCTGCCACTCTTTTGACACATGCAACACCTGCAACACCTCCCCCACCTGGAGACTTTGGGAATAATGAGTTGCTGAAGGAAGAATGGAAAAGGTTAGCCGGGTTAGCCGACATCTTCTGCAAGGTCCTAGAGTCTGGAGGAAGGGTGGAGAAGCTCATAGCCCAAGTTGCTTGAAGTCCAGTGTTAAGTTTCCACAGGCTGTGATGATTTGGGGTGCAATGTCATCTGCTGGTGTTGGTCCATTGTGTTTTTTGAAAACCAACGTCACTGCACCCGTTTACCAAGACACTTTGGAGCACTTCATGCTTCCTTCTCTTTTTGAACTTTTTGAAGATGCTGGTTTCATTTTCCAGCAGGATTTGGCACCTGCCCACACTGCCAAAAGTTGGTTAAAGAATTAATTATTTTGTATACATCTACTCAAGTGAGGACTTTAATTTTGAAAAGCAATCACATAGTTCAAGAAGCAGGAAGTTCGAGCAGTACTGCAGTGAGTCAGCAGAATGTTGTAGCTGTTCTGTGTGAGGCTCATTCTGAAATATCTTCTTTCTTCTGTTAGACGCAATGTCTGTGAGTACGCAGTGTTGAATATATTGTGTGATACATATAAGAATGTTATTTTGATATAATTATGGTGTATATTTTCTTTAATTGTTTTTTGTATATTTTTACAGTTTCACAGTTGAATAATAAACTTCAGAAACGACTTGATGTCTCCGGCGAGGTTTTTTGAGTCACTGTTTAACTTACTGGATAGTTAGATGCCAGAGAAGTCTAATAAGGCCAGTATATATACTGTGAGAGCAATCGACAGGTTATGTTTGTTTATACCATCTGGATACTTAATATTGATCAGATTAATGCATGTTTTACAAAGTTTATTGTATAAGTAAGTTAATCGCCTTTCTTAAGTAATGTTCTGCTACACTGTAATGCACACACATACAGACAGTATAGCTCAGACATCACGTGCAGATTGCGTGCACACAGAAACATTCACAGCAACATCACGAATCACGGATGTGTGTGTTGTGGAGCAATGGTCCTCTCAGTATTGTGAATGAAGCTCAAAAAGCAGAGTTCTAGATGTAAAAAAATAAGACATTATTGAACACAGCAATAAAGCTGAGATGACAGCCACCGCATCTGAATCTATTCTGTCCAGGTATCAACTTTTTTACCTTATTCTTGTCAGCTCTTGGCCAATGGTATCACAGTTACATTGATTTCATTCCTCTGATTTGCTACAATTAATTTTTACTCCTCCTGGCATATTTTCTAATTGTGGAATCCTGCTAATCCTGTTTGAACCATCTTCAAAATAATCTTTATCTCACCCCTCCCACTGCAGGTGTCCTCATGGGCCATTCATCAAACTTGTTTGTGCTATCCCTGACATATTCTTGGAAGTCACCCAAAGTTCACTGGTTCACCCAAGTTCATCGGTGCAGTCCAATGGAAAGCACCCATACTTGCCCATTGGAAAGCACCTAAGACTCACAGTCTGTATTAAGACATCCAATATTGAAACTATCATCATATTGATCAGTCTATTTATTATTGTTATAGCCACACATCATATATTTTGAGTAAAATATCACAACACATTTTGCTTGAAAACGCACAAAAGTTCTGCTATGGGTTTGTTTGGAACTATTTTTGTTGCAGAAAGAGCAAAAATTGGTGTTTAAAATTGTGCCTAAAATGCAATTTACTTAATATTAACTAGTTTCTTGAAAGTTTGTATAAAATCAGTACGTTTGCAATTGTGCTCATATTCGTGAAAATAGCTGTCTTGCTCTTGTGATATTGTTTAATTATATGTTAATTATATTATATAATATAAAAACAATATCTCATACAAGTACTTTTTTTGCAATTACATCTTGAAATTTTTGGGGTATTTGTATAAACTTTGGTAAAAATTCCCCATTAAATTCCGACCCAGCATAACAGTATCAAAATAAATCAAATTAGACATAAGTTATTGATTGCATTTGAAGCAGGAAGTTTTACATCCAATTACAATAATGATGTTAACAATTAAAGTTGGAGAGACACTGCACAGGTAGGATTTATTCACACATAATCTGTAAGAAATATGACCCACAGACAAAATTATAAAAATTAGCTTTTATATAGGAGCAACAGTTTTTTTGTGAGTTTGACTCTAGGCTTGAGGCTTCACAAGCCAAAATCACAGTTTGTTCACAAACGTTATCCTTTGTTTGCAAATTGTGGCTTGTTGCAAAGCATTCCCATCACTTGCGTTTTTTTATCAATGACATCATCAGCAATTAGTCAACGTCGACTCGACTTTAATCACACATGTCGACTTAAAAAAAAATCTGAGGTCGTTCAACCCCTACTCACCAGTGACAGTAACAATGAATGTCTTGTATTTGGGTTCTCTGCTGCCGCTGATCTTTACTCGATAAACCCCATCATGTATGGGTCTGATGTTTGTGATGGTCAGTGATCCAGTCGTCTCGTCCAGCTTCAGTCTGTCTCTGAATCTCCAATCAGGACCATCATGTGTCTCTCCATTCCTTTTTTTTATTTCAGCTATGGGAGACTTCTCAGTTTCAAACTTCCACTCTATCTCATCATCTGTCTGTATTTCAGCACCAGTGTTTAGTCTGACTTCATCTCCATCCATCACTGACAGAATGTTCACTTCATGTCACAACAGTCCATATAAACAGAGAAATGAGATTATAATAAATCAGTCATTACAGCTTCTTTGGAATTGAAAAGAAAGAAATGGTCTTTGTGTGTGTATATCAGCAAGAACAAACTGCACAGGTAATTGTGACACTAATAACAGTAATATATTGCAAAAAATGTTAACATAAATGCAATAATTATCTATGCATGCACATTATGATTAATCTGTACGGTACTTTTGTACTACATTAATTCATTTTTGTTCGTCACAGTATTGAATAAACTGAGGAAAATACTAAATGACAAATTACAATAACACACTATAAAATGCAGTATAATTTATTGTAAATCTGTGTTCATTTCAGAGCACAAACTACTCACCATTGATAGCAACACAAAATTTCTTCTTTGTGGTTCTTCTGCTGTTGCATATCTGTAGTTTATAATTTCCAGTTTGTTCATTTGTGATGCTCTTGATAGTCAGAGATCCAGTCTTGTCCAGCTGCAGTGCGTTTATGAATCTCTTGTCAGCATCAGGATATGTGATCTCTCTAGTCTGTCCCATCATTTGAGCAATGAGTTTGTTTTCATCACCAAACATCCACTGTATCTCATCATCTCTGTGTATTTCATTGCCAGGGTTTAAAGTGACAGATTCTCCCAACGTCACGTTTTTATTCTCCACTTTATTTGTGTCAGCAGCACATAGAAACGGAGAAAGAAAATGTTGCCATTAGATCAAGTGTGTGCATATGAATATCAGCATTTGAGCTTTCCACATCTCTCCTCAACCACCACCAGTGTGCAGCATCCACTTGGATGATGCTATGGCAGCCACAGGACAACGGCGCCAGTGCACTCACCACACACCAGCTACAGGTGGAGAGGAGAGAGAGTCATAGAGCCAATCAAGTGAATGGGGATTATTAGGAGGCCATGATTGAAAAAGGCCAGTGGAGTGAATTTGGTCAAGACACCGGGGTTACGAGAAGTGCCATGGGATTTTTAATGACCACAGAGAGTCAGGACCTCGGTTTAATGTCTCGTCCAAAAGACGGTGCCCCCTTCTTTTTTTTTTGACAGATAGTGTTCCCGTCACTATACTGGGGCGTTAGGACCCACACAGATCACAGGGTGAGCACCCCCTGCTGGCCTCACTAACACCTCTTCCAACAGCAACCTAGTTTTCTCAGGAGGTCTCCCATCCAGGTACTGACCAGGCTCAACCCTGCTTAGCTTCAGTGGGCAACCAGTCTTGGGCTGCAGAGTGATATGGCTGCGGCCATGGCCTTGATGTAACTGAACTGCTCTTAGAGTGGTTTACACTGCTGAATAAAGAGCCTGTGCTGAAGATGCAATGCTTTACAAAAACCATAATAAAATACAGTGGCTCACATCATCCTCTAGTGTCAGGGATGATCTGGTTTTGTGCACATGAAATGCACCAGAAAACTAGCACGTCTTATGTTCTGTCACTTCAATCAACACTGTGCAGAGACTGTTATGCTGTTATGCTTCGTGTAATAACATTTCATTTTTTGTGGGACTTTTGTCACTTTATTTGAAGGACAGTAGAGAAGTTAAAGGAAATCACTAGAGAGAAGAAATGTAAAAGGAACACAACAATGACCATAAGTGACACTGAATCTCTGGTGTTTTAACATGTTTGGATCATGTGTATTAACCGCTAACTAGATCATGCCTTAAATACAAATATGTGTTTATGTGACAATTTAATTCACTGAGTAAAACTTCTTAACGTATAAAGCAGGGGTGGGGAACGTTGATCCTGGAGGGCCACTGTCCTGCAGAGTTTAGCTCCAACCCTGAAAAAAATACCTACCTGTATCCTGAAGAACTTGATTAGCTTGTTCAGGTGTGTTTGATTAGAGTTGGAGCTCAACTCTGCAGGGACACCAACCCTCCAGGATCAGCGTTCCCCACCCCTGGTATAAAGTTGATAAAACCAACAACAGACACACACTGAACACCAAAATGACAGAGTAAGTCTGTATGTCAAAGAGTTTGAGCTGAATTATCCACAGAGAGAGAAAAAATATATATACAGTGGGTACGGAAAGTATTCAGACCCCCT